TTTTAGTTTCTTTGGAAAAAATATATTCATCGTTTTTGCGTTTTCCCCCATAAGTCGACCTTTTTTGCAACCTATTTTTCATTTTTGTACCTATTTTGGAATTTTTGTCACCTATTTTAGCATTTTTTACAACATATTTAGGTACCTATTTTAAGGTCTTTACAACCTAAAAATCCGGTCTCTAATAATATCACTTCAAAGATCTCTAGGTATACTTTACTTTCTACTTCACTTTATGTAAATTCTTCAGTATAAAAATAGCCCGGACTTACAAAAATTAACCAAATATTGATAAAGATACCTTTGTAGCTCTAACCCATAATTTATTTGATCTAAACTTCCCAAATTTGTGTTTATATATGCCACATTCTTTGCACAAGTAATGTTCTTTTAGTAAATTATACCACTGTTTTGCTTGTGTAACACTACAATTGAAACACTTTCGTCTATTTATTTCAATTATTCCACCTATAATTATTAAGGGGAATTTTTAGACAAATGAAAAGATAGACAAAGATCAAAATTTATTTACATATTTTATTTCCAATGTCGATAATTTTGCTCTTTAATTCCTTCGTATATTCAACTTTTTGTTTTTTTAACAATTCAATTTTATATCCAATTAAATTAATTTCCGTCCAATAACTTGATGAAAGTTTATTTTTGTAATTTTCTCTATTTTCTTTTAATAATTCTTTTTTATTTATTTTTGTATTTTCTAAACTTTCGTCTAATATAGAAGTTTCATAATATTTATTCTTCTTCTTAATAAATTCAGTAAATCTGATCACCTTTTATGAATAAATTTATAATAAGGTTATTTTCTTAATAATTACTTGTTATATACTTGTTATATATACCGCAATATTAATTATATTTCAATATTAATTATATTGTTATATAATTAATCATTGTTACAGTTATTTTTTGCTTTTTCACCAATAGTTATATTTGTTCAAGCAATATATTTATTTTCTACTTACATTATTGTTGAAAATGAATGATTGACACAAAAACAAACAGAACAACTTAGCCTCAAAAGTGGAGACTCAAATTGGGAAAAAGTAACATAATTTATTATTTCTTGGATTTCTAGACTTTATATTCAAGTTATTCTCAAGAATACCTGTTTTTCTAATCCAGGATGAATATTTTGAAAAATTTTATTTTTGGCAATATAAATCAAAACTTTTTTTTCTAATTCTTCAGCATATTCTGATCTATCATCTAACTCAACAATAAAAATATTTTCTTCACTGTTTACGTCAATTAGACGCAAAAATCTTTCAATATTATAAATATAGCTAGTGTTGTCATACTGATTAATATGTTTTTTAATTTTTTTCATTACAAAAAGCTCTTTTAAGGCAACATTTTTTAAATAAATAAATTCTCTTTTTTCTTTCCAATCGTCTTTGATTTTTACTTGAATATTAACTTTCCTTCCATCACATTTAATATTCAATAGGAAAAATAAATATACAAAGCTAGAAGCAATAATAAATTTAATCATCTGAATTTAATATAAAAATATATTTATTTGTTATTCAATGTACTTAATTGAATTAAAACGTGAGAATAAATAAAGAAATAAAAATTTCAGCGTCATTAAAGAAATAATTGGAAAATATGAAAGTGCTCATAGAGATGAGATTTCGCTGCGGATTTATAAATTTTGTCGCATTTTGAAATGTATATTTGCACTTTATACATATCAATCATCTTGGTTTTTCGGGGCATTAGAGGAGTTTTATAGGCCCGTTTGAAATTTCAATAGTTATTAAAAAACAAGCTTAAAAATCTTAAATGTTAGTAATGCCAAACTGGAAAGTTACGGTATTGTTTATGAAAATGCCTTTAGTTTTTTAAATACACAGCTCTTAAATCTTCTAAAAATTACTTTGAATGGGCATTTATTATCATATTTCACTTAAAAGACAAATAGTGCACTTAATTAATAGTCCAAATAGTCTTAATTTAAATATTGTCTTTAATTCTTTTGAAATTAATAAGACATTTAAAAATAAATATTTGCACTTTATATTTAATGAATATTCATATGATTAGTCGGCATGACATTAAATATTTTGAAATTGTACTTTATTTTGTTTATTTTGTCAATCGGCGCGGTAAAAAAAATTATTTGCACTTTTTGTTAAACTGACTCGTTTAATGTTAATAGTTTTAAATATTTTTAAATATTTAATTATTTACCAAAATCTGTAATAATAAAAAGTGCATATATTTATTTTAGTTGCCGGCAGTATTACAAAATATAAAGATAAGGAAATATAATATCATAACCATTTAATGGAAAAAAGTTTAATGACTATATAACCTTTATTTATTTCTTATATCCCATTAATTATTATTAATATTAAAATTTAAGATGAATAAACTTATTATTATTCTTCCCTCATATTTGGTTGTTCTGTTGAATAACCAAATTAACGGTAGAATGATTGAAGTTGGATTAAAAATAAAAAATGATTGGGAAGAAAAAAGAGAATTTATTTATTTAAAAAATATTCAAATAAAGGAACGTTTTGTATTGATAATGAATGTAAAACAAAACAGCAGAATAGTTGATTATCTTTATAAGAATACTGGATCCTTTTGTAATCAAGTTACTTGACAGAAATTAATTTAATTGGATATAAAATTGAATTGTTAGAAAAACAAAATGTAGACTATCCGAACGAATTAAAAAGTAGAATTATTGACATTGGCAATAAAATAAGTAAATAAAAATTTTATTTAAGTTTATTCAAACAATAATTAATTACTTGTAAATTAAAAAGACTCATTATTAAATGATTTAGGTGGAAATTATGAACAAAATAAACGACATTGTTTCAATTGTAGAAAAACACAAGATAAAAGATGGCTTAAGTTCATAAAAGAATACTATTTAGCAATGTTTGTGAGTCATATCGACAATATAATAATGGAAAATTTAGACCTAAAGAAATGTGGTTTGGAGCTAACCAGGTTCAACAGATCTTTTAAAAAATCTTTTTAAAAATCAAAATAGAATAAAGTATTAGGAATTTCTAAATCATCTTCAGTAAGGGAATTAATAAATGTTTTAAAAATTGAGATTGAATTGTGATTATTTCGTAAATTACTGAGAAATAAATATAATATAATTGAGTTTTAATATTAGAGTTTCAATATTTTTAAATGAAATTTTCATTAATTTTATGCTTAAAGTAATAAATAAATCTTTTTGATGATAGATAAAATTTATGTTTTCAAATTATTTTCTTTAAATGTTTAGAAAGTCACACAAGGTCGAAATTGTTATATTTGCGATGTTAGACACACATCTAATTGGTACCGTTATTCTAAACACGGGAACTATTTATGTGCTGCTTGTTACCATAAACAGCAAAGAATAAAGAAATCAAATAAAATTACGAAATCAGATGATTGATTTTGGTTTAAAATTTAGTTATCTTTGATATTATAGATAGAAGTTGAAAAATGCATCAATTTGGGAAGTGGACTACACCCAACGATGAATGGATAAAAATGAGTATAAAATAATATAAACATTGTTATCAAATTTCAATTATATTTTTTTACTCCATTACTATTTTGCTTTCTTTAAAAAATTCCCTTCTCCTTTAAGAATTATTTCATTTAATCGATTCCTAATCATTTAAAATTTTATTTATATCTTTCAATCTTTCTATTTTTTATAAATATTGTCCAGGTTTTGAAAGGTCAACTCATCATTTTGTTTGCTTAATTCTCTAAATATATTATGTCGATCCTCCTTAAATTTTATTAATACTGTATTATTTAGGTATTAGTATTACTTCTGAAATAATTAAACTGAGCAAATATCAAAATATTAAAACATAAATTTAATAAAACATATTATTGGATTTTTAAATTTTTATTAAAATTTTAAATTAAATTAAATTTATGAATCAATTCATTAAATAAATGATTAACAATTTAAAATGTTATAATATTAATTTATAATTTTAAAATAGGCCTCTCAAAAAGATTTAGTATAAGCTAATCCTGCTGTTGTGTAGTGGTGTTAGGATAGTATCGGTTATTTTCAAAATTCGTTATCTACTGAGCCCATTTCTTAATACTAAAAAGAGTAATTTAATAATATAATCTGAGCTACTAGATACGACAGTAACAGGGGTGTGCGACCGATTTTAAATAGCGAAGTAAAAGGCGATATTGAATTTAAAATCGGATTGGCACACGATTTGGCACAACCCTTTATAGTAACTAAAAAATGGCTTTATCTGGATTGAAATGATACGATAATAATGTGTAATAGCAACATGGCTAAACATAAAATATTTTGTTAAAGACAAAATAGAATGACAGAATAGTATTGACATAATATTATTCTTCACTAACACAGAGACTACTATGATATATTAAATGACTTCTATAATAAAAGACAATAAATTCCCAAAAGAATCATAGTTTGTTTTGTTGTTCATAATGAAACATGGGCTTTCATCCATTTAATGCCAAAATACAAGCCTAAAGCAATTATAGTCCCCAAAAGAATTGTCCAGCCAATACAACAATTAAATCCACCACGGCGAAATGTTTCTCCACAAGTTTCATTACTATTACCAAAACAACCAGTTTCAGCATCATCAGCGCGTTTGCGACGAGAAAAAAATTGTTTCATATTTAATCGCGTAAGGTCTAAAATAATAAGTAAAATACATGCTTAATTATAGTAAATGATTTATTACAGGGGTTAGAATTCTGCTGATTTTTCCTTTTTTTAGTTATTGATGGGTAAATAAGAATTTTTTGAAAGATTTTTGGGGTTTTTAAATATTATAAGAATTTTTAAAAATTTTCTTTTAGTGATGATCAAAATTAAACAGTAAATAACGTTCATTTTACCGCTTCGTTTTATGTTAACCGAAGAATTTAGCAAGATGACTACCTTATACGAATGATATAAGCCGCTTTTTTGCATTTTGATAGTTTTAGAAGTAAAAATATCACTTACTATATTTCTTGCCATCCTCTTTCTTACAACACAAGCATCCATTATATGACGCAATTTTAAAATTAAGAGCAAAAGACTTCCAAATTGAAATGGCATCGTCAAGGACATTACCCTCAACTTCTCTCTTTTCGGTAAAATGTCCCCACAACTTGTTGAATAACCCAGTCAGATAATTTTTGTCAAATAATTTTTCTTCCTCCATGAGTTTTGCATTTTTAAATTTTTCTTGAATTTTGCCATATTTTTTATCATTGAATTTGTTGTAGAGAGCCAATGATGTTTCTTTAACGTTTTGAATTTTATCAAATGCTTCCTTCAAGTTAGAAGCCTTGGCAATGTCAAACAGATTATTGAGGCGCTAAAATTTTTTTGTAGATTTAAAAAAATTTAATAGTTAAATTTTAAATTGGAGTCCTAACTAATATAGAATGAAAACTAGATGTGCCCAGACTTCATACAGTCAGCTAAAAGATGTACTAAAGTTCAACAAAAATAATAAGAAATACCAAAACATCCACATGTCAACAACAAACTACCTCCTTTTCCACTAATTTTATTCGAATTTTTTATATGCATTTCCTTAAGGTGAGGGTCACTTAGTTTCCATGAATTTCATTTTAAATCTAACAATATCTGCAATTCATCTTACCTCATCACTGTCTAAAGTTGGCATTTCCTTCTCAACCATTCGCAACTTTTGCTTCAGTTGGGTAGATTCTTCTAATTCTGCTGACTTTTCTGGTTTAACATGACTCCAACTATTTATTCCAGCAAGATTAAATATGAATATTATAATAATTAACATCCCTAAAAGCTAAGATTGATATGATTTTCAAATCTTATATTTTCATAAGTACAATGCCGAACTAAGCCTTATTCTTTTTCTGAACTTAATAAGATTTTTTAGTATGGTCGCACTCAAATAGATATTTATCGCTTAATTCTTGCGTAATCCTGGAATACTATATGTAATTCGGTAGTGCTATCTCATACCATTCAGTGGCTATGTCTTGTTGACTCTAGTGGAACAAACCAAAGGTGCCTTGCGGCATATTAAAGGCTGAAAGACATTAGCTGAAAGTAGCTTATGATTAAAGTTCCGGAATGCTTCTAATTTACTACTGACTTAAATCCAGTAATCTTTACTGAAGTCTTTCACAATCAATTAAATTTAATTATGATTTACAAAAAATTCTTTAGGTAAAATAATAAGAAAAAGCATTGACTTCTCTTTTAAAAAACTGAATTGCTTTAGAAAAAAGGAGGAAACATAAAGTGAAATGCCGAACATAGAGTGCATAAAGTGCAAGTCTATCCCATGCCATTCATTGACTTATATTTCATAAAAGATTTTCCTTTTGAGATTCTTATATTAATAAGAATGATGCAATATTTTCATTGATTTCCAAATTTCTTAAATTTTTACCCTTTTATTCATGCCGAAAAGCCGAGTGCAATAATTATTAAATTTTATAAAGTCTAAAAAATAATTTTTAAAAATTTTCAAAAAAGGGAAAGGGCTTGTTTACCAGAGAATAACAAATATTCTAAGCATTTGTAAAAAAGACCTTGAGAGTTTATGGAGTTTAGTTTCCTTCGCCTTCATTGGCATTTCCACATTGTTAAATCTCGGACAACCCTCAGACATAACAAATGGCACGGTCGACTACAATTGAACCAGTTCGTCTACCTAACGTCTACGGTAGCGTCTACGATCGACAACAGCTACAGTGGAGTCGAGTATTTAGTGAAATAGTGAGGCGAAGTGTAGTTAGTGAATTGCTTGATGCAATTAGTGAGTGAAGTGATTGATTGGATTCTTAGTGGACACTGGATGAATTGGATTCTGAATCCACATTCGACAGGATTCTATGTCGAAAGTGAATTTGGTGAATTGTTAGTGCGCAGTGGACCAGTAATTAGTTTTTGAATTGAAAAGAGACGAAAGTGAAAGTAAAGTTAAATTTGGTAGCCATAGAGTGAGCAAGACCAAAAAAATGAAGTTTGAATTGTTAGTGAATAAAGTGAATAGCATTGTGTTGAAACGCTTGGACAATTTAGTTAAAAATAGTAGTCCAATGAAAAGCGCAGAGTTGAGACAAGGCGCTTAGGAGTCGCGGCGCAAATGTTCTCGGCACAAAAGTCGTTATACAATAAAATGAATGTTTGGAGTTAAGCATACATAGTGTAATAATTTATAATAAAATCCGAAAAATTAATGAAAATGACCGTTTAAAAAATATAAATACAATGTGGGTCTAAAAACAAATGAATAGTCGATTTGAATTGCTATGTTTCACGAAATAGTTTTTAATTGACAAAAATTTTTGATAAATAAAAAATTATCTGTTCAATTATTCATTTGTTATACTACAAATTCGGGTTTTAATTAAAAAAATTTTTTTAAGATCCTGAAATGGATCATTAGTAAAACTAAGGCTAGATAAACTACATGGTAGTAATCGTTTTACAATCCCAAATAAAAAAACAGTCTAAAAAATTTTGAAATGAGTTGATTTAAATTTAGAGTTTTTTGTTTTTATAGATTAAAGAATTTCTTTAAAAATAAATATTGGTAGTGTTGTCAGAAATAGGACTATATTTAACACAAAACCCATCCAAAAAGTATAAAAATTTGAATATCAAAAACACATACCATAGGACCAACACATTTTTGGAGTGAAAAATTCGATTTTACAAATAATAGCTCTATCGAATAGAGCTCCTCGAGATGAATCGCATGACATGAATATCAAAGTGATTGGACAAGTTTCCACAAAGTTATGACATAAAGTTATATTCATATTCTTGAGTCTGTATCTCGGTCCATAATTGTTTCCGCTGATAAATTTTGGTGTAGTTCTACTTATCTCGTTGTGTTTTTTCGATTTACAAATATTTAAACGAGTCAAAGTACAGAAAGTGCAAATTACTTTATTTATCCCGCCGATTGACAAATAAAAAAAATACAATTTCTAAATATATAATGGCATGCCGACTAAACATATGAATTTTTCATTAAAAATAAAGTGCAAATATTTATTTTTAAACGTCTTATATATGTATTTCAAAATAAATAAAGACAGTATTTAAATTAAGACTATTTAATTAAATTATTTAATTCATCTATTATATTTGTTTTAATAGAATATTTTTAAAATTAAAATTTAAAATGAATAAATTTATTATAATTGTTCTTTCCTATTTGGTTGTTCTGTTGAATATCCAAATCAAAGGTAAAATGGTTGAGGTTGTATTAAAAATAAAAGACGATTGGGAAGAAAAAAGAGAATTTATTTATTTAAAAAATATTCAAATAAGGGAACGTTTTGTATTGATAATGAATGTAAAACAAGGAAGTAGAATAGTTGATTATCTTTATAAGAATATTGGATCGTTGTGTAAAATTGAAATAGATCATGTTAATAAAGTTTTTATTGTTAAACTATGTCAGGGGCCTAAATTTATCTCTCAATTAAAAAAGAGAATTTTGATTGAAATTGCCAATAATGAAATTGTTAAGAAATATTTGAAAAACTTGGAAAAACAGGTTTAATATATTATAGATAAACAAATTTAATATATTATAGATTCGCCTAAATAATAATTTTATCATAAATAATAATTATTATGAAACTTCGATATTAGAAGAAAATTTAGAAAAAATGAATAAAAAAGAATTATTAAAAGAAAATATAGAAAGTTACAAAGCCAAACTTCTAAGAAGTTATTGGACGGAAATTAATTTAATTGGATATAAAATTGAATTGGTAGAAAAACAAAAAGTTGAATATCCGAAAGAATTAAAGGATAAAATTATTTATATAGGCAATAAAATAAGTAAATTTAGTTAATTGGATTTATTAGCGTATTTTTAAATATTTGTTGTTAAAATTTATAGATGTCATTAATAAAATATACAGACGACAATGTTTCAATTGTGAAACTACACTAACTAAGAACTGGTATGAATACCTGAAAGAGGATCATTATTTGTGCCAATCATGCTACATATATAATCAAAGGAATAATGGAAACCACAGACCAAAAGAATTGTGGAATAAAATTAAAATGGTTTTTCTTTAACAAAAACTACATATTATGATAATTCTAAAATATTTACTATTCAATCAAATTCTTATGTAACTCAGTTCGGACTCATTTACACAGTTTGACTAAATCGACATTTGCCCTCTCTTTAAAACTAATATTTTCGGAAATTTGTATAGTTTAATAAATAATTCTTGATGATAGTGAACATTTATAATTGCGCATAATTTTTCTACAAATATTTAGATAAACACACAAGATCGGAATTGTACACTTTGCGATGTTACTCATACACCACACTGGTACCGTCATTCAAAACCAGGACACTATTTATGCGCTGCTTGCTACATTAAACAGAAAAGAATGAATTAATCAAATAACGAAGGCAGGTGGTTGTTTGTGCTTTAAAATTTAGTTTACTTTGATATTATAGATCGAAGTTGAAGGCGGATACAATTTGGAGAAGTCATACTACACAAACGATGAATGGATAAAAATGAGTATAAAATAATATAACCATTGTTATTAATTTTCAATTATATTTTTTTACTGCTTGACTTTTTTGCATTTTTAAAAAAATTCCCCTCTTTTTCATGTATTATATTTAATTTATTCGATTCCTTATCATTTAAAATTTTATTTTCCATCTTTCCATCTTTTCTTCTTTTTATTTTTGATAAATATTGTCCAGGTTTTGAAAGGTCAACTCATATTTTGTTTGTTTAATTCCGTAAATATAATAATGTCGATCCTCCTTAAATAAATTATATTATATCAGTATTATTTAAAATAACTTTTCCGTATACAAAATAGATGTTGAAGGAAGGTGTAAGGAAAAAATTGGAGCGAATCGGATGATTTAATATTTTTGAATAACTACTTTTAGCAATATTCTATTACATGTAAAAGAGCCCTAGTTTCTTACATACACGTTCTGTCTTTAGATAATTAATTTTTGATGAGTTTTAGTTGAATTAAAAAAATTCGTCATTGATGCATAATGCTTTATGTATGTGCATTTTTTGAGTTTTGCGAAGAGTTTGGAGAGAAAAAACAATATTAAAAAAACTTTTTAATAAAAACAAATGAACTGATCATGAACAAATTATTTATTTAATCATTTCAGTAAAGCAAGCAGAAATACGGTAATTAAAATTATTTTTCCATTACCTTAATTTATCACAAACATTTTTATAATTTAAATGAAATTGATAATTATGAAAATATTTTCCAGGTTAAAAGTTTTGACTAAAACGGATTATTCTCGAATACCCGATGATGGATGTCCGTGACGGGGACCTCACGGATAAATCCGGACATGTATAGCAAAAACTGTGTTCATGAGCAAACCTGAAATTACTGCATATCTCTCCTAAGCAACCTTTTCAGAGTAAAATTTTTTGCTTTTCTACTCCTATTTTCTTTCATAAGATTTTAATTAATCAATGTCTCTCCCTCCCTGTCTATTAAGCCCTCCCTGTCCTTCCTGTCTATTGACTCCCTCCCTGTCTATTAAAAATCTTTAAAAAATTTTCCATCCTCGCTGTTTGTATATTAATTCGCTTGAAAGCATATTCTTTTTTTTATCTTTACTCATAGCTATGTCTCCATTATTAATATCCTTTACAAACTATTTTC